TTTCTTCTTTTGCGTGCATGATTTCCCTTACCTTGGTTTTTAAGTGGGAGATAGTGTGGTGTAGTGGAAAGTTTAACTTGAGTTAAAATCCTGGCTTGGCTATTTATTACCTGTGTGACCTTGGACAAGACTTTCTGGATCCAAGTTTCCATATCTGTAAAATAAAGTATTGGACTAGATGACCTCTAAGAAGCCACCTCAAAATCTATGACTCTAACACAATTACAAAACACTTTTCACACAAATAAAGTCAGATCTAAATAACTGGGAAAACATCAGTTGATCATGGGTAGGCTGAGCTAATATAATAAAAATGACAATTCTACCTAAGTTAATTTACTCATTCAGTGCCATACCAATCAAACTACCAAAAATTATTTTATAGAGCTAGAAAAAATAATAACAAAATTCATTTGGAATAACAAAAGGTCCAGAATATCAAGGGAACTAATGAAAAGAAATGCAGGGCAAGGTGGTCTAGCCCTTTCAGATCTTAAATTGTATTATAAAGCAGCAATCATCAAAACTGCTTGGCACTGGCTAAGAAATAGAGTAGTGGATCAGTGGAATAGGTTAAGTATGCAAGACATAGTAGTCAATGACTATAGTAATCTACTGTTTGATAAACCCAAAGACCCCAGCTTCTGGGATAAGAACTCACTATTTGACAAAACCTGCTGGGAAAACTGGAAGAGAGTATGGCAGAAACTAAACATAGACCAAAATCTCACACTATATACCAAAAAAAGTCAAAATGGTTTCATGATTTAGATATAAAAGCTGATACTATAAACAAACTGGGAGAGCAAGGAATAGTTTACCTATCAGATTTATGGAGAACAGAAGAATTCATGACCAAACAGGAGATAGAGAGCATTATGAAATGCAAAATGAATAATTTTGATTACATTAAATTGAAAAGTTTTTGCACATAGCCAATGTAACCAAGATTAGAAGGAAAGTAGAAAATTGGGAAAGAATTTTTACAACCAGTGTCTCTGATAAGGGCCTCGTTTCTAAAATATATAGTGAATTAAGTAAAAATCTTAAGAATACAAGTCATTCCCCAAATGATAAATGGTCAAAGGATATCAGATGAAGAAATTAAAGCCATCTATAGTCGTATGAAAAAATGCTCCGAATCACAATTGATTAGAGAAATGCAAATCAAAACAACTCTGAGGTACCACATCACACCTATCAGATTGGCCAACATTACAAAACAGGAAAATGATAAATGTTGGAAAAGATGTGGGAAAATTGGAACACTAATGCATTGTTGGTGGAGTTGTGAACTGATCCAACCATTTTGGAGAGCAATTTGAAACGATGCCCAAAGGGCTATAAAAATGTGCATACCTTTTGACCCAGTAATAGCACTTCTAGGGCTGTATCCCAAAGAGATCATACAAATGGGAAAAGGACCCACACACACAAAAATATTTATAGCAGCTCTTTTTGTGGTGGCAAGCAATTGGAAACTCAGAAAATGCCCATCAATTAGGCAATGGCTGAACAAGTTGTGGTATATGAATGTAATGGAATACTATCGTGCTATAAGAAATGATGAGCAGGCAAACTTCAGAAAAATCTGGAAAGGCTTGTGTGTAACTGATGCTGATTGAAGTGAGCAGAACCAGGAGAACGTTGTACACAATTAACAGCCATGTTGTACGATGGCTAAGGTAGATAGACTTAACCCTTCTCAGCAATGCAAAGATCTAAGACATCTCCAAAAGTCTCATAATGGAAAATTCTATCCACATCCAAAGAAAAAACTATGGAGTTTGAATGCAGATGGAAGCATACCATTTGCTATTTTTTTCTTCTGTTTTGTTTTGTTTTCTCTTTCTGGTGGTTCCTCCTATTGGTTCTAATTCTTAGTTACAACATCACTAATGTGAAAATATGTCTAATAGGAATGTATATATATATATGTATATATATATATACACACACACATATATATATATATATATATATATAGTCTATATCAGATTGTGCAGTCTTGGGGAGGGAGGAGAAGAAAAATTTAAAACCCAAAAGCTTATGGAAGTGATTGTTGATAAATCAAAATAAATTCATTTTTAAAAATCTATGATTTTATGAACTTGAAAAAATTTTTGTCATGTAGCCAACCAAAGGCCACTTTCACTTTTCTTCTCTTTCTGGTATAGACTGAGGCAGATTTTCCTTGTACCTGGGAGACCATAGAGGCTTATGAGTTTTACTTCATAAAGACAGGGGATAGAAGGAAGAGAGCTCAAGTATTCTTGAGTTTCTGTCTCTCTCTCACCGTGTGTGTGTGTGTGTGTGTGTGTGTGTGTGTGTGTGTACTTGTATTGGTGCTACCTTCCTAGGAAAGATATCCACCATTTTTGCCTAGAGGTAGTGCCTTTATCTGAGGAGGTTTCTAGGACACTGTCTACTGAGCCATTAGGTCAGGAATTTACATAAAAGTTCCATAAAAGTGGAGTGCTTCCACTCCACATTTAAAGGACCAACTTAAGGATATGGTATTCTTTAGCCACTGAAGATCTTGCCATGGTAAATGAGGGGGCACACAAACATGAGGTTGTCATCATGTCCAGCTGACACAGGTAGTGGGCAAGAGTTCTCTTTGAAGACTTTTGGAGAGGGATTGGGAGGGGCCACTCACACAAATTGTATCCCTCTCTCTTCTTTTGGTGGCTAGGGAACATGGAGGTAGAAACCAGCTAACAGTGTATGGTATAGTAGTGGATAGCGTATTAGTGCCCTCTGCTGTAAGAATTCCTTGCCACACTCCCTGTCAAAATTGAACGTGCTGCACTTCTGCAGCTAGCACACTACTCCCTTGTATTCTGACTCCTTTTTAAAATTTCCCTCTTTTTCACAGAAATGTAAACTGAACTGTCCAGTCAAGATGGAACAAAAGGTTCAAAATAAGTCAGGATCCTCACAAGCCCCTCCAAAAAAGAGGAGGAAAAACTGCTAATAAAAAAACAAAAAACATCCAAAATAGGAATTCCAGAGTTTGTGGAGAACAGGCAATTTTAACTCTAGCCTCATGTCAATAATGCTTTCCTAATCTCTTGATTCTTTTCCATATCCAATTGGTTTCTGGTATCCTTCAATTTTGTTCCCTAGTTCAGATTTTTACCACCTCTCATCTATACTATGGCAATAACTTCCTAGTTGGGATCCCTGCCTCATTTCTTTCCTTTTCAATTCTTCCTCCACAGTTTCCAAAGCAATATTTAGCCAAATGACTGCATGTATTTTGTATTTACTTATCTGTATACCTCTTGTGGTTCCCACCTACTCCCCACCCCTGGGAGACTAGGTTCCTTAAGGAAAGGAACATTTATTTTATCCTAGCACACAGATGACACTTAATAAATGCTTGTCAAATAAGATTGAATCTCCAGTCCTGGGTCACCAGTGCTTCCTCCACACTCCCACCAGTAAATGTCATAAAGTCACAAAGTTTGATGGAATCTAAAGGTGCTGTCAATCCCTTCAATTCAAGTAGGGCTTCGTTTGGACCACTCAAATGGGATACTCATTTTAAGATCTCTAGGGAAAAATGACCTAAGTAGCCTGAGCAAGGGATGGAAAATACTGCCAGGAAGCATTCTGTCTCAATTCTTTCTAAAATCAGTCAGCAACAAGATTCATGGTAAATACAATGCATAATATTAATAAATGCCATCCATACTAATCAGAAACAATAGAAGGGTTTTTATATATTTGCAACCACTTTTTTGTATATTGTTGAATTGTTTTCAGGGATGTCTTTACTCTTTGGTTTTGTTTTGGTGGGACTTTTTGATTAGCAAGATTTTTCTCATTTTCTTTGGTTGTCACTCACACATATGAACACTTATGGGTTGACCAAAGTATGTCACTAGAATATTAGCTCTGTTAGGTATGTTATGAAGTGCCTTATTTGGACATGGCTTGACCTAGAAGGTATGTGAAGTTCTAACAGATTTTGTGATTAACAAAAGTTATCAATAAATTTTTAAAACATTTTATAAATTTCATCTCATTTTCTTTTGTTCTCTCTATAGTGATGTTTCAAATACCCTGAGCCCCATTAAAAAATTATGAACTTGTCAAAAAACACAAACATTTCGATATACAAAGAACAGAAAAAAACTGTACATAAAACTGTGAACCTCTATTATGTGGTTTTTAAAGTATACATTAAATTTAATTAAATAGAACTCATACCACCCTGCTTGTCTATATGTCCTTCTTAACTTGACTTTTGCTATTTTTTTTTATGGTGGTTGTTTCATTAACACTTAACCTAATTATTTTTTAAATAATATTTTATTTCACTCCAGTTACATGTAAAGACAATTTTTAACATTTGTAAAATAAAATTGAGTTCCAAATTTTCTCCCTCCCTCCACTCCCCTAAGACAGTAAACAATTTGATACAGGTTATATATATATGTGTATATATATATATGTATATGCAATCATGTAAAACCTATTTCCATATTAGTGATGTTGTGAAAGAAGAAACAGTTTGCAAAACAATTACAGTTTGCAAAAGGAAAAATCTGTGAAAATAACATGCTTCAATCTGTATTCAGACTCTATCAGTTCTTTCTCTGGATGTGGATAGCATTTTCCATCATGAGCCTTTTGGAACTGTCTTGGATCATTGTAATGCTGAGAAAAGCTAAGTCAGTCATAGTTAATCATTGCACAATGTTGCTGTTACCGTATATAATGTTCCCTTATTCTGCTCACTTCACTCAGCATCAGTTCATGTAAGTCTTTTCAGGTTTTTCTAAAATCTGCCTGTTCATCATTTCTTACAGCACAGTAACATTCCATTACACTCATATACCACAACTTGTTCAGCCATTCCCCAATTGATGGGCATCCCCTCAATTTCCAATTCTTTGTCACCACAAAAAGAGCTATTATAAATATTTTTGTACATGTGGGTCCTTTTCCCATTTATATGATCTCTTTGGGATTCAGACCTAGTAGTGGTATTACTGGATCAAAGGGTATGCACAATTTGACTGCCCTTTGAGCATAGTTCCAAATTGCTCCCCAGAATGGTACTTAACCTAATTCTTGAAGTTCATTCTGCTGGGCCTTGACACGAATTGGGAGGAGAGTTATTTGGGAAGCTGGAATGAATATCTGTCTCTGGCTATAGTCTAAGAGGATTGTGTCCAGTTAAGGGTATATCTGATTGTGAGTTGTCAATAACTCAAGTCACAGTGTTTTCTGAGGCTAGCTGTCAGGTGGAGAAGAGTCTGGAGCATGATCACATAGAGCTAGACAAAGGCTTGGGTAGCAGGCAATGAATGAAGATGGTCACACCATGGTAGTTAAAAGTTCTTGCTGGGATGTCACAAGTAACAGGGTAGTTCTTAATTCATGTGGAACTAACATGAAATAATCTGAGTCATTCTCATCCTGAAATGTTTGTTATTTCTTTTTTTTTTTTTTTTTTTTTAATGGGGGGAGAAGGGAATGGAGGAAAATCCAGAGAGAAGAAAGAATTTACTACCTCAAGCCTGGCAAGAAATTCAAGCAGAGGAGACAAGCTGGGTGAAGGAGGTGAAGACATACAGTAGAGGAAAGAGGAGAATTCTCCCTGGTTACTGTAAACTTTGTAGTTCAAGCAAGGAAGGATAGCCTTCAGGACACAGCCCATACAGAAGGCCCCATTCTCACTGGAACACAGGTTGACCTGATTTTGCAGTCAAATGTTTTGGCCTGTTGAGTATATTTTTTTGGTAAACCATTGGTCTAGTTTTCCACAGAAATCACTACTTCCTCTCTGGGGGTCCACCATGTGAGCCAGTGACTGCCATGTGGACAGCTCCTTCCTCAGCCTGAATTCCCATCCTTCACGAGACAAGCAATCTGTCCGCGGAGCTGCCGCTCTTCAGTCCATGCTTTGCTCTGGCTTTGGCACTTCAAAAGCTCAGCTTTATAGTCCTGGTGATGCATTGGGCAATAGCTCTGTGGTTCACACAGTTCCTGAGGAAAAGTGGGAGAAAAAGAAAGGGAATAAGTGATGATCCAGACCCCAGGGTAGAAAGTCAGCTCCATGCTCCCAACTTTGGCCACTAAGAGCTCTCCTACTTTTCACTGCCAAACTCCAAGAAAGAGTAGCCTAGACTCACTTCTTTCATTTCCTTGTTGTTCAGTCATTCAACTGTGTCTGACTCTTTGTGACCTCATGGGCGATACCATCCATGCAGTTTTCTTGGCAAAGATACTGAAGGGATTTGCCATTTCCTTCTCCAGGGGATTAACGCAAACAAAGGTTAAGTGACTTTCCCAAGTTCACACAGCTGGTGTCTGAGGCCAAGTGTGAACCCAGGTCTTCCTGACTCTAGGCCCAGTGCTCTATCCACAAAGCCACTCAGCTGCCCCATCTAGCTCCATTTCCTTACCACCCATTTATTTCTCAGATCTTTGCAATCTGGCTTCCAATGACAGCATGCCAGTGAATCTACAGTCACCAAACTTATTAAGGATCTTTTAACCAGGAAATCTAATGGCTTTTTCCTCAATCCACATCCTTCTTGACCTTTCAGTTTTTCAATACTACCTCTCCTGCCATGTGGCTTCTATGACAATGCTTTCTCTCAGTCTTCTTCTTACTCATCTGAATGCTCCTTCTCAGTCTGCTTTGCTGTATTCACCTCCCTATCAACACCAGCAAACTCCAAGGCTGTCCTAGGCCCTCTTCTTTCCCTATTCTCTCTCCCTGATGACCTCATCTACTACTATGAGTTCAATTATCACATCTATGCAGATAACTCTCAAATCTATACATCTAAAAAGTAAGAAAACCATTGAACTAATAAATAAAACTAAGAGCTGGTTTTATAAAAACAAAACAAAACAAACAAACAAAAAACAGCAAACAACAAAATAAACCATTGGCTAATCTGATTAAAAAAAAGAAGATGGGGCAGCTAGGTGAAGCAGTGGATAGAGCACGGGCCCTGGATTCAAGAGGACCTGAGTTCAAATCTGGCCTCAGACACATAACACTTACTAGCCGTGTGACCCTGGGCAAGTCACTTAACCCCACTGCCTAGCCAAAAAAAAGAAGAAAACCAAATTACCAGTATCAAAAATGAAAAGGGTGAATTCACCACCAATGAAGAGGAAATTAAAGCAATAATTAGGAATTATTTTGCCCAATTGTATGCCAATAAAGCTGACAATCTAAGCAAAGTGAAATGGATGAATATTTATAAAAATATAAATTGTCCAGATTAACAGAAGAGGAAATAAAAAACTTAAATAGCCACATTTTAGAAAAAGAAATCAAACAAGCCATCAATGAATTCCTTAAGAAAAAAATCCTCAGGACCAAATGGATTCACAAGTGAATTCTACCAAATATTTAAAGAGCAAGTAATTCCAATACTATATAAACTATTTGGGAAAATGGGTAAAGGAGTCCTACCAAATTCCTTTTATGACACAAACATGGTGCTAATACCTAAACCAGGAAGAGTCAAAACAGAAAAAGAAAACTATAGACCAATTTCCCTAATGAACATCAATGCAAAAATTTTAAATAAAATACTAGCAAGGACATTATAGCAATGTATCACTAGGATCATACACTATGATCAATCAAGTGGGATTTATACCAGAAATGCAGGGTTGCTTCAATATGAGGAAAACTATCAGCATAATTGACCATATCAATGACAAAAGCAACAGAAATCATATGATTATCTTGATACATGCAGAAAAAGCTTTTGACAAAATACAGCACCCATTCCTATTAAAAACACTAGAGAGCATAGGAATAAATGGAGCTTTCCTTAAAATGATAAGTAGTACCTATCCAAAACCATCAGCAAGCATTATCTTTAATGGGGATAAGCCAGGAGCATTTCCAATAAGATCAGGGGTGAAGCAAGGAGGCCCATTATCACCACTATTATTTCAATAGTGTACTAAAAATGTTAGCTATAGCAATAAGAGAAGAAAAAGAAATTGAAGGAATTAGAATAGGCAATGAGGAAATGAGAAACTATCACTCTTTGCAGATGATATGATGGTATACTTAGAGAATTCTAGAGAATCAACTAAAAACTACTTGAAATAATTAACAACTTTACCAAAGTTGCAGAACATAAAATAAATCCCACATAAATCATCAGCATTTCTATATATTACCAACAGAGCCCAGTAGCAAGAGATAGAAAGAGAAATTCAATCAAAACTAACAATGTACAATATAAAATACTTGGAAGTCTAGCTGGCAAGACAAACCCAGGAACCATATGAACACAACTGCAAAACACTTTTCGCACAAATAAAGTCAGATCTAAACACAGGTAGGCCAAGCCAATATAATAAAAATGACAATTCTACCTAAATTAATTTACTTATTCAGTGCCATACCAATAAACTACTAAAAAACTATTTCATAGAGCTAGAAGAAATAATAACAAAATTCATCAAGAAGAACAAAAGGTCAAGAATATCAAGGAAATTAATGAAAAAAAAATGCAAAGGAAGGTGGCCTAGACATACCGGATCTCAAACTATATTATAAAGCAGCAATCATCAAAACTATCTGGTACTGGCTAGCAAATGTGAGTGGTGGATCAGTGGAATAGATTAGGTACAAAAGACACAGCAGTAAATAATCATAATAATCTAATGTTTTATAAACCCAAAGACTCCAGCTTCTAGGATAAGAACTCACTATTTGACAAAAACTGATGGGAAAACTGGAAAACAGTATGGCAGAAACTAGGTATAGACCAATATCTTCCACCGTTTACCAAGATAAGGTCAAATGGGTACATGATTTAGACACAAATGGTGATACCATAAGCAAATTAGAGAGCAAGGAATGGTTTATCTGTCAGATCTATGGAGAAGGGAAGAATTTTTGACCAAATAAGAGATAGAGAAAACTATAAGATATAAAATGGATCATATTGATTATATTAAATTAAAAGGTTTTTGCATAAACAAAACCAATGCAACCAAGATTAGAAGGAAAGCAGAAAGCTTGGAAACAATTTTTACAGCAAGTGTCTCTGATAAAGGCCTCATTTCTCAAATAAATAGAGAACTGAGTCAAATTCATAAGAATACAAGTCATTCCCCAATTGATAAATGGCCAAAGAATATGAACAGGCAGTTTTAAGATAAAGAAATCAAAGCTATCTATAGTCATATGAAAAAATGTTCTAAATCACTATTGATTAGAGAAATGCAAATTAAAACAACTGTGCAGTACTACCTCACACCTATCAGATTGGCTCATATGACAAAAAAGGAAAATGATAGTTGCTGGAGAGAATGTGGGAAAATTGGGACACTAATGCACTGTTGGTGGAGTTGTGAACTAATCTGATCATTCTGGAGAGCAATTTGGAACTATGCCCAAAGAGCTATAAAACTGGAGGCAGCTAGGTGGCTCAGTGGATAGAGCTCTGGCCTTGGAGGCAGGAGGACCTGAGTTCAAATCCAGCCTCAGACACTTGACATTTACTAGCTGTGTGACCCTGGGCAAGTCACTTAACCTTGATTGCTTCACCAAAAAGCAAAAAACAAAAACAAAACCTACAAAACTGCACACACCCTTTGATCCAGCAATACTACTACTAGGTCTGTATCCCAAAGAGATTTTAAAAAGTGGGGGGAAGGACTTGTATATACAAAAATATTTACAGCAGTTCTTTTTGTGGTGGCAAAAAATTGGAAATTGAGGAGATGCCCATCAATTGGGGAATGGCTGAAAAAGTTGTGGTATATGAATGTAATGGAATACTATTGTGCTATAAGAAGTGATGACCAGGCAGATTTCAGAAAAACCTGGACTTATATGAACTGATGCAAAGTGAAACGAGCAGAACTAGGAGAACACTGTACACTGTAACAGCAACATTGTACAATGATCAACTATGAATGACTTAGCTCTTTTCAGCAATACAATGATTCAAGACAATTCCCAAGGACTAATGATGGAAAATGCTATCCACATCTAGAGAAAGAACTGTTGGAGATGGAATACAGATTGAAGCATACTATTTTCACTTTCTTTGGTGTTTTTTTTCTCCTTTTGGTCTGTTTCTTGTTTCATAACATGACTAATATGGAAATGTTTTACATGATTGCACATATAAAACATCAAATTGCTTAGGGAGGGAGAAAAATTTGGAAAATTTTTAAAATGAATATTAAAAATTGTCTTTACATGTAATTTGCAAAAATAAAATAATATTTTTAAAATTAATTTATTTTGAATTATCAACAATCACTTCCATAAGCTTTTGAGTTTTAAATTTTTCTTCCCCTCCCTCCCTAAAACAGCATGCAATCTGATATAGACTATACATACACTTTCCTATTAAACATATTTTCATATTAGTGATATTGTAAGAATTAGAACTAATAGGAGGAACCACCAGAAAGAGGAAACAAAACACAACAGAAGAAAAAAATAGCAAACAGAAATACTATTTTTTAAAAATCTCTACATCTTAAAACTCAAAAGCTTATGGAAGTGAATGTTGAATAAAAATAAATTAATAAAAATAAATAAATAAATGAGTAAATTTTTTTAAAGAATCTATACATCTAGCCCTAATTTCTCTCAACTCTTATATTGTCAAAATGCCAGCTAAGCATCTCCACCTGGAGATTCCACTAAACTTTCAAAATCTGTGTCCAAAATAAAATTCATAATTTTTACCTCTAAACCACTCCTCCAAACTTCCTTATTTCTGTTAGGGGCACTACCATCTTCCTAGTCACCCTGGTTCATAACCTATATGCCAAGGCACTTTGCTAAGTGCTGGTATTCAAGGCTTTCCAAAATCTGACTCCAGTCTCCTTTTCCACTCTTGTTCACATTGCTTCTGTTTACATATGTACTCTTCAATCCAACCATCAGCTGTTTCCTGAACTTGGTATCCCATCCCCTGCCCCCATGAATTTGTCTAAGACATTCACTTTGCTTGGAACATAGTCCCTCTTCTTCTTTGCCTCTGAATCTTTGTCTCTATCGCTCAGCACAGGTACTACTTTTTCCATGAAACCTTCCTTGATCCCATTTGCTACTGTTCTCTTCCTCTCCAAATTACCATGTACTACACTTACTTGCACAAATACTGTCCCTTTTGAGCTCCTGAGGACAGGCACTGCCTTTGTATTTCCAGTGCCTACCACACAGTTGTTTGACAAATGTTTGTTGAACTGGATTGCTGACTAAGCTTAAGAGAAAGAGCAGATATACTTTAAGTAACTGAAGATGGGGGCCCAACACCGGCACACACTGAGGGACAGGAACTGGTTCCTCCTGTATCTAGGACCTTGCTTTGTTCCCATGTGCTTTGTTCTCTTACCACATATTCTAGGAAGAAGTCTCGGTAGCCTCCCTTGAGGATGTAGAGCTCAGGGTAGTACAGTGCAGGGTACTTGTTCAGAGCTCTGTCTTCTTCTCTAAGATAGCGGCACCTTCAAAGGGATTCAAAAGCCAGGACTGAGGGGTGGCGTATCAAAGGGAATGAGTGGGGGAGTGATGGGTCAAGCTAGCTCTGAGCCAAGGTAGAGAGGGATTCAATGTTTTCAGAACATTATAAAGTCTTATCAGCACCCCTTCCTCCCCACCCACTATTTGTCAGGGCTATGTCCCCAATTTTTCACTCCCTGTTGAAACCCCCTCCTACCACTGAAGCAATAAAATCACATTCCCTATTCCTCTTCCTCATGCTACTCACATGACAGTGGAGTGAGAGCAATGGACTGATTGACTTCTAGGTAACTAGGAGACATTTTGGGGAACCAGACCCTAAACCCATATTCTGTCTCACCCAGGACCCCATTCTCACATTCGGGGGCCTCTTTCTGAGGAGAATTCACAATGAAACACGATGACTACTCTTTTCTGGGCACTGGAAGGAATAAAAGGCTTCTTCAGGAAGAAATTGTGTAGTTCTTCCTGACTGTGCAGGTTCAGAGCTCCCTGTAGAAGAGAAGAATCTCAGCACCAGATTCCTCAAGACTACAGATAGTTCAGACACTTAGAAAGCCCTAAGCCACCATTCTTGGGGGTAACTAGGCCTACCTCATGTTACCGGGGCCATTGAATCAGCAAGTCTAATAACAGTGAGGGAATCAGAGACAGGAACTGTAGTAATCTCCACATAGCAGAGAACAAGACTGGTCTCCAAATATTAAAGCAGTTGTTTAAAATTACAGTCTACTATGGCACTAGGACAGCATGAGGACTCAGTTTTGAGTACCCAGGACCTCATGATATCTCTAAATATACAATCTCTGCCCTTCTCATCCTTGATGTTTCCTGCTGTGGAGCCTTCCTGTAATACACGAGGTGGTCCTTCTTCCACATATGCGCCCATCTCCTCCTCTGTGGACGTGTCCCCAATACCCTTACCTGGATATGACCTCCTTGATACTCATACGGGTAGCGGCAATCAATAACATAAAACTTCTCAATCAGGTCTTGCAGCTGCCCCCATAGCAGAGCAGCTACCTGCAAAGGATACATAACGTTGGTCACTGTAGCTACTTTGTGGCCTTTTTGCTTGGAGGTCCTACCTTTGGCCCCCACAAGTCCTGCCTTCTTACTGTGTATTCCAGAAGTGCCAATGGTCTCCCTTGAGGACATGAAGCTCAGGAAAGGATAGTGACCTATGCAGTTCAGCAAACAATAGTCCAGAGAATGTAAGATCCCAAAGCTGCATGTCCTGAGGCAGGAAGCCAAGGAAGGGAAGAACAGGCCAGACTAGAGGCAACTAGAATTAGCCTCCCTTGGATACCTCAAAAAGTAAAATGGTTGGGGGGAAATCATACAAGCGATTTAGGATGACAGTGACTTAGAATCCATATTTGTCTTTGAAAGTAAAAAGAAAGGTAGGAGATAGCTTCCTTGGCCTCCAAAAGAAAGTGTCAGAATTAGAGAATATTAATTAGGAACCTTCCAATCCAATTTATTTGGCTAAAAAGACTATGCTGGAAAGGACAAAGAAAGGCAAATGGGAATTGAAGAACAGGATAAATGCCTGTGTAAACACCTGCCACCTCCAAAAACAAATTTACCGACTCTGGGTTGATGTACTTCAGATCTTGATGTTTTCCTGTCACTGTTGGTAGCACACAGACCTAGGAAAACCAAAAATGGAAAGGAAAAAAGTTTACCATGCTTCTCAAATGTGTGAAAAAATGACCTTGTAGAATCAAAAATTCACTGAACTTTATACTTATCCTTTTAGATTTCCCCAGTGCCTCAACAGCTTCTCAAAACAATAGTCGCTGACCTTCCCTCTTTTCCCCAATTGTTCCATGGGGCATGGTATCTCATAAGAATAGCCCAGTGAGCCTGGCCTTTTACTGGCACCTTCAGGCTGCTCACTACCACAGGACCCTCACCCTATCACCAGTGGGCAAGTGGAGGACTAGGCATGAAGCACAGTCCCTGAATGCTCTTCTCTCAGGGCAGAGAAGAAAATGTCTCATCCCAAAATGGCTGAATGAAGACCAGGATGGGGATAGCCACACTCACCTTGGTGAAATCAAAAGACCAGGATGGGGATAGCCACACTCACCTTGGTGAAATCAAAAGACCAGGATGGGGATAGCCACACTCACCTTGGTGAAATCACCTATCAGTTGCCTCTGGTCAGAATTCTCCCCTAAGATCTGTAGGGCATTAACATCACAGAGTGAAACTGTCTTCTTTAGATCTGATTCCTGAAGATGGAAAAAAAAATAAAGCCCCCTATTTCTAAACTCAGCAGATTTAGAACTTAGGTACATGACTTCTCAGCAATCACTCTCCACCAAACCATTTTAGAGTGTAATGTTGATTCCTCCTCACTCCATGGACACAATCTAGTATGTTTTTCTCCAGGGGTACCTTACCAACCAAAGATCTCTAACTGACTAGTAGATTTAGAAGGTAAGACTAGTATGACTATAGTAATTCTAAGAATGCAATGCAAAAAACTATTCTTAATACTGACGTTTCTTACACTAGGATGTGATGATAGAAATGACGGGACAAAGATAGGGAAAAGCAACAGATTATTATCCAAGTGTTACTGAACAGAAAGGGATGGAGAAAATGGATCAAGGTAATTCTTATCCTGTAAAGGCTGAGAGAATAATTAAATAGAAGTACTGAGCTAATATTTTTACTTTCTCAGGTTCTCTAGACCAACATTTTTTGGCTCATGGTGTCTTTGTTTTCTACTAGTTGTTTTAGTTTTGGCTTGTCTGGTTTCCCTGCAGAATGGTATAGACAGCTTCTATTCATGGATACCTGCTCAGAAATGCCAAGTCCCCTGGGCAAGCACCATTCCTCCTCTCTGTCTGTAATGTGTCTTCCCCCAGCCTGCTCTGGAATGCCATGAGTTCCCATTTCCACCTCAATCCAGACCCAACTCCTTCAGCACACTGCCTCAAACAAGCCCATCCTTAAAGGGGAAAGAAAGCTCCAGCCCAATTCCTTCATGTAATATTGGGATGCTGACAATTGGAGGATAAAGCATCCAACAGAGTTCAGGAAGGTGATAAAAAGGAAAAAAGTAAGGCCACCAAAAAAAGCAGCAAGGGAAACTGCTTGCTACTTTTTGCATAATGACTTCTTTTGAGATACTTTCTTGTAGTGACTTTTTTTTTGAGGGAGTGGGAAAAAAGATAATTTTCCCTTCTCTTTCCTCTTCTAACTATATATCCAAACTAACTGTGGTGGGAGGAGGTGAAAAAAGGGAGGGAGATAGCAAAAGTAGAAAACAAGCATATAAAGAACTTTGTAGACAAAGCAAAACAAAAAAAAACTTTGGATAACTTGGATATAAAGTTAAAATCATCAAGGGGATATACACAATGATTACAATGTAAATGGAAAGAATAACAAAAGAGAAACCTAACACTGTAATTATAGTGACCAAGCTTGTCCTCAAAAAAGAAATCAGAAAATGTACCTGAGTACCTTTTTGGGGGATTGGGTGGGGCATAGTAGGGACTAAAGGTGTGGAATACTACACATAATGTCAAATTCTGTTGATGAGCTGGGTAATGTTGACCTGACCTGCTCCCCATGCCGCCCCATCTTCTCTTTTTTATTTTAGGAGGGGATGTATTTGGAGATGAAGATGATCCAAAAACAAAAGATAAAAACAGTTTAAAAAACTGAAAAATCATTAAAGAACAATTCTTTCATGAACATGACAGCACTTGAATCAAATGCTAGGATATCCATTGAAGAAGGTGATTCTAAGAAAGATGTAGAACTCTTATCAGGAAAACAGAACAAGAAATAGTCATACTTCAGCATGTGAGCAAGAAGTATGTTAGACACCACCATGAACTTTCTATAAAAGTTTCTATCACTGCAAAGGTTTGAAATCTAAGAATTACATACATAGACACTTATTTAGTGGGCATGGCTTAGGTACCACTCAATGAGCAGTTATTAAAAGCATCTCTATGTACAAGACACCATGCTAGATGTTAAGGATACAAAGATAAAATGTGGGGAAAACCATTCCCTACCCTCAAGGAAATTCCATTTTACTGGAGGTACCCAACTTTTAAACAAATAAATACAAAATAGTCCGAGGAAGAAATCAACTATGTGACCCCTGGAGGTGTCTTCTAGCAAATCTAAAGGGTTTCTATACCTACATTCTACATTTTGCTAGCATCTCTCTAAATATTTCCAGCTGTGGATTAGAGAGGTTTAGACTCCTGCTCCTTTCCCTCATACTCACCTAGCTAATTGTGATGTCCTGATTTAGGAGAGGACTACACAACTAGTCATACTGGAAGACAGGTAGATAGTCCCTAGTTTCTGGGGAGGGGGGAGGAGTAGAGAGTCATCAATGTCAGTTCAACTATTGTAAACAAAGTAATAATCTTAGCAAGAATTTAGAAACATTTCAGTTACTAGTAAGAGAATTCAAACAGTCAGCATATCTGTATCTAACACAAATCTTAGTGTGTTTCACCAGAAGCTTCTCAAGGGTAAGGACAATATCTTCTGTGTATTTGATTCAGCTGATTGGTGCACACTGTGAATGTTTCAAAATATTAACTGTTAGTGTCAGAGAAGTTAATGATTATCATGCTGAGTTTTCATAATCTAAGGACAAGAGGCCAAGAATATATGGACATCAGCAGACTGGCCACTTCTATAAACACTGCGAAGCACTACTGTTGTAATAGCTTTTTAATTTGTTTAAAAGGAAAGAAGTTATTTACCAGGATCTGGCAACTGATTGCACCCAAAATGAATGTAAGGTAATTTAAGAATGGTATTTTGGCCCTTTCTAGCGAATGAATAACTTGCCATTTCCCAGACGCTGACGACTGAAGCTCTAAGAACCAGCTGCTTTCAGGTTGTACCATACGCTAATTTAACATCTGAAAAATAGTGGTTTTCATTGTTAAAGGAAAAACTGGATCTTTTCTAAATGTCTGATGGACCCTTTAAATGCTAGAAAACCCAAGAGGTTTTCAGGCCTTGGTAAGCCTGAATCCTACCTGCAGCTTTTAAAAGATCATTTACTTGAATACTTCTATTTATATTGCAATGAGCTAAGACCTGAGGTGTGCGGCCCATTAGCCAGAAATGAGGCTCATATATTTTGCACTAAAGACATTTTCTAATTCTTACAAGATCAGCACAGCCATCAGGTTGAGACAGCTGGTCTATCTGCCCTGGATACTGCAGTTTTCCTCTTGGTGGTTCAAGTTCTCTTTAAGAGCATTTGGATGTTGTTAACGTTACTGCTTGGCAGTGATCCAGTGATAACCAGGTAAGAGAGGTTATTATCCCTTCGTCTGCTTCACTGGAGATTTGACGTGGCCTCACCTACAATCCTAATATAGGAACTCCATCCTCCCAACTATTAGCAGTAACTCATGTATGATAATTTCTAAGAAGTTTATAATTTATTAGACATGAACTTGTTTTCTCTCTGCATCAAAAAAATAGAGAACAAAAGACTTATCTCACTTTTTCTTACCTCAAACCACACTTTAGCATCTATAGCTATTCATATATCATCTCAACTATCAATCCTTCATCTCTCCCTTTCACAACCAAACTCTTAGAAAAAGCCTTAGAAAAATAACTACAATAATATAAATGAAAAGAACCCCAAGAAAAAGTTAAATACTGTATAACTGCAATGAACAACCTTGATCCCAGAGAAGAAATAAGAAAATGAACCTCCTTCCTTTCCTTGAAAAGGTGGGTGACTATGGGTGTGGAATAGTGTAAACCCTGCAAGACATAGTCATAGTGTCAGTTTTGATGAACTCTTTTTCTTTTCTTTGTTACAAGGTAAAATAAAAGGGGGAGGGGTGGTGGTGACAATGGCATATCTGAAAATAACTGTGATATAAAAACAAAACATGTCAATATTTAAATAATTAGTCATCTACTCATTGACTCCATTGCCTCAACTCCCACCTACTCCTTAACTTCCTGCAATCTGGTTTTCAATCCCACCATTCAACTGAAACAGCTCTCTCCAACGTGACCAATAATCTCTCTTTTAAAAAAAAGTTTTTGTCTGTTTTTTACGCATTCATAGTTTTCCCAAGTATTCCTCATCCTCCCAGAAAGCCATCTCATACGACAAATAGTATTTTTTTTTAAATCAGCACAACCAGTCAATTCATCGAACAAGTCTAAAACCATATGCAACACCTGTGAACTTCCCACCTCTTCGAAGGGATGGGTGAATATCTCTTCGTTTGAGTACTGTTTGATCTTCATAATTTTGCAACACTCACTTTTGATGTTTTGTGTGTGGTTATTATTTCCATTCGCACTTATTGAATAATCATTGTGTATGCTGTTTTCTTGGCTCTGCTTACTTCATTCTATATCAGTTCATGTAGTTCTTCCTACACTTCTCAGTATTCATCATACACACCATTTTTTATAGGACAGTAATATTCCATTATATTCACGTACCACAGTTTGTTTAGCCATTCCCCAGTCAATGGACATGTACTTTGTTTCCAATTATTTGCCATCACAAAAAACACTGGTATAAATATTTTGGCATACATGAGGGCTTTCTTTTTATCAACGGTTTCCTTGGAGTACAAGCCCAATAATGGGATCTCTGAGTGAAAGGGTATTGACTTTTTAGTCACTGTGCATAATTTCAAATTGCTTTCCAAAATGGTTGTACCAATTCCCAGCTCCAGCAACAACACATTGGTGTGCCTCTCATTTCACAACTCCTCCAACATTGATTATCACCATTTTTTGTTATCTTTGCCAATTTGCAGAATGTTAAGAAAAATCTCAGGGTTGTTTAGATCGAATTTCTCTTAATATTAGTGATTTGGAGCATTTTTTCATGTGGTTCCTAATACGCTACAATTCTTCTGAAAAATGTTTGTTCATATTCTTTGACTATTAAGGAATAGCTATTGGTCTTATACATCTGTTAATCGTTCATATATGTTGGATGCCAAACTCTTGTCAGAGAAGTTCAATACAACTTTTTTTTTTTTTAACTATTTGACCATTTTCCTTCTCATCCTAGATGCAAGGTATTATCTGTACATAAAAAGCTTTTAATTTTCATGTAATAAACAAAGTTATCTATTTTATCTCTTGTTAACTGCCTCTATCTTTTATTTGGTTAAGAATCCATTTCCTTGTTTTTATATGTAATTGGAAAAAAAAACATTAAAATTTTTTTAAAAAAGGAATCCATTTC